ACGAAGCTTATAAAGATGAATGGAACTCTACTCAGATTTAACTTGAAATTCTCCTTTGGTTTCGCAAAGAATTTGCCTCACACTTCAATGTAAACTATTTTCAACATTACCTTAAAATTCTGAAATTCTATGGCAATTCAAAATTCTAAATAAATATAAATTCCAATTAAACAAACATTTAGGCAAACTATTTTTAAAAGTTTTAAGATTTTTTTCAGCGACTAATCTTTAGAAAATGGCTTCATTTTCATGATTCTGCAACCCATTAACATGCAAACATGTTTTAACAATTCCATCGTACATGGATTGTAATAATTTCCAACGATGATTGCCTTTAATAATTAAAGAAGCACTTTTTATTTTTTGAATAGAGTGTAAATCAATTGCAATGATATTTTTAAAGCAACATGTTCGAAGCATCTGGGAAAATCTGGAACATATTTAAAAAATCTGGAAATATGCGTGATCTGTCTGTGTATCTGGCCGGATGACCGAAACGCTGCATGCCAGACACAAAGCTACTGCTGCCAGTGGTGATGGAAGTTTCGGGTCGCGTTTGGGTGTAAAGCAAAACTCTTAAAACTCATACTCACGACAGGTTGGTGATAATCGTAGCTGGTTAGTTTTGTTAGCTTGATATTTGGCGCAACGATATCACAGGTTATCATATCATTGAGATTTGATTTTTGATATTTTATCAACACTGATTTATGTATTATTCCCTTAGAACTCTTCACAGGATTTATTTGAAGTTTTTTTTTAGAATCGTATCAAATTTACTAAAATTTTAAGTTGGCACTCTTTTGCGTTATCTTACTTTAACTAATCATGCTTGTATTACTAATTGTGAAGTTAACGATTTACATAGTTGGAGATGCTTAACTTCAAATATCAGACTTAAAGTGGTGGAGATATCCCTCACCATCCCTACCCAAAAGAGGAGTTTGGTAAAGGAGATGATCAACCCGATTCGCTTTCTACTCTCTATATACAATTTTAACACTGCCATACCCTAAAGGAAATATCAACTCTATTCTTTCATCGCCTCGTCCATCATATAAAATGACCATTTTAAGTATGATATTTGACGTTAATGATCTTCAGCTATATAAATTATCTTACTTTTTTCATAACACTAGAACATCTCTGCAAGACACTGTGAAAATTCTCTCCAGAAAGCTCTTGGAATTCACTCAACAACTTATTTCGAACAGTTCTCGCAAAAATTCGCTTAGAACTCTTTTCCACATTTCTTTCACCATAAAATTGGCTTGGATTATGAAATCAACTTCTCATCAGAATTCTTCGGAAAATCCCCAGAAAATTCTACTTGCTATATTCTCAAATATTTCCTTAGAACGGTTCCAAGAACTCCTTGAAGTGCACCCCTTATAATTATCCTCAAAATCACGTTGAAATTAACTTAAGAATTTCCATTGAATTTTTCTCAGAGTTTCCGTTTAATTCCCTCTCAATTTCTTCAAATTTTCTTCACAATTATTTTGAAAATATCCTCATAATTCGATCATTTTGGAATCCTTCTCGGAATTTCCTTAAGATTTTTCTCTCATACTATTCAAAATTGGCATAAAATTCTGCTCATCATCTGTTGGAATCCTAATCAGAACATACTGGTAATTCACTGAAAAAAAATCATCAGGAATTTCTCCATACAATTCTCTTAGATTTTTCTTCCAAAATCTCCTAAAGCATCCGTTCAAACCCTCCTCTAAATTCTCTTGAAATTATCTTCAGAATAACTTTGCAATTCTCTTCAGAGTACCCATGAAACTTTCCTATCAAGTCAGAATTCTTCTCAGAATTGCATTGAAACTAGACAAAAAATCAATTATCTTTGAATATTCCTATAAATTTCCATAATACTATCACCAGGATTCCCTTAGAATACCTTATAAAATTCGTTTGGAATTATACCATAGAGGTAAATCTAAGACCAGCAGGTCCCGAAGAAACGTGTTCAACTTTTTGGGTCAGCTCTGGTACTATCTTCGGTCCCAAGCTAATCGATGCACCCCTCGAAACATAGTAAAATCCACGAACCCCTCATTTTATCTGTCAAACTTTCATAGCGAATCAAAACAAACCCAATATAGTACTAGAATTTAGACTATAATGGCAACAATCAATACGAAACTAATGATTTTAAATTGGCTCACTACTTGACTAGCCTATTGGTCCCAAGCAAACGACATTCTAGTCAAAATTCCAGTACTACACTATGTTTGTTTTGATTCACTATGAAAGTTTGACAGATAAAATGAGGGGTTCGTGGATTTTACTATGTTTCGAGGGGTGCATCGATTAGCTTGGGACCGAAGATAGTACCAGAGCTGAGCCAAAAAGTTGAGCTCGTTTCTTCGGGACCTTCTGGTCTTAGAGTTACCTATATGATAATGGGGTCGTTAATCGATTTGCTTGGGACCAATAGGCTAGTCAAGTAGCGAGCCAATTTAAAACCGTTAGTTTCCAACGGGTGATTATACTGTGTTTTTCTCAGATAGAGTTTATCAAAATTTACTGGAAGTTTATCTTGGCAATCTCTGGTTTTCTCTAACATTTGTTGTGTTCATAACACTAGAAATTCACTGCAGGACACTATAGGAAATCTCTCCAGAAAGGTTCATATAATTCTCTTAGATATTTCTCTAAAACTTTCATAGAAATCTGGTAAAATATTCCTTGGAACTCTCCTCTAAATTCTCTTTTAATTATCTCTGGAATTACTTTAGAATTCTCTTCAGAATACCCAGGAAACTTATTATCAAACTCTTTAGAATTCTCCGGAAAATGTCATTGAAACTAGGCAAAAAATGCCATTAGCTTTGAATCCTCCTACACATTTCCATGATACTTTCATCAGGATTCCCTTATTTTGTTAGGAATTATACTGTGTTCTCCTTAGAATTCCCTTGAATTTACATTAAGGTCTCATCATCAAGAATTCTCTTCATAACTACCTTGGAATTCCAGTCATTCTTCCCAGAACTCCCTTGAAGTTTTCCTCAGAATTCTTCTTAAAATTCACATTACCACACCATAAGTCTGGAGGGAAGAGATTAAGCCGAATCTGCTTTGGTAAGCAATGAATTCAAACTTCTATTTTTCGCCTCGCAAACAAATTATACCAACTGGTAGACTGCCCATAATCGCGTATCAGTCCCATATGGGTTTTCGCCTATTTTGAGATAACAACGCTATCCACTATCAATTGGCATCTATTTTCATATTATGTTTGATCGAGTTTGATCATGAAAAATGTGGAAACAACAAACAACATGCAAAGTAATCGCATACAGTCTTAAAGCATGGCCCACTTAGTGATGGAACAACATCATTTGGATCTATTTCGGATTTTAATTAACGGATTTGAAAACAGTTTTCGCTCAAGTGTATTCCTTATATTTTAAGAAAAAAAAAAACCCATGATGCTCACTCCAGGCCAGGGATCTGCTTGGCATTCGCATTAAAGTACGTCTCGTCGTCCATTACGATGCAGTTCGGTTGCACCAACCTGGCGCGGAATTTGGCCACCGTATTCTGTTTATCGGTTCGGTTAGGCGCCTTCCTTATCTTGAAGTCATGAAGGCCGGCCCGCTTCATTGTCTACTGAAGTAACCAGGCGGAAGAATTGACCTTCTTGGCCACGTCCCGAATCGAATGGTTCGGATTGCGCTTGAAGTAAACCATCACCTTCCTTGCGTTCACGGGGTTGAGCGTCTTCGTTTTTCGTCCGCTGCCAGCTCGCTGCTGGGTCGTCTGGGTCTCCTTGAACGATTTTACCACACAGGACAATGTCGAATTGTCGATTTCAAACTGTTTCGCGATCCACCATGTTCCTTATCCAGAATTCGGCCTAAGGATTGATTCAGTCCAACCGTTAGCGTTTCTGGTCTTCGAAATATGTCCGTTATTCTGTAACTCAGAACAAATATTTTAATTCTAAGGCCTGTATCATTTTCTGCGATCTACACTCATCTTATTACCTTTCAAGGGTAAGGGAGCAGATGAGTTTGCTGGTCGATAGATCATATATGATTACCTTTGTATGGGTTCCCTCACATTGCTCAATCCAAGGCAGACTCTGTCGCAAAGGTGGGCGCACAACAAGGTGAGATTTATGATAGAAGAATTTCACATGATGAATTTTTCCCATTACTACGTCAGAGTTCTGTTCTAAGTTGGCAAAACGATTGGACAAGTAATTCTCTTGGGCGGTGGTTACATTCCATTACTCCAAATGTTTCTTCGAGAGCGTGGTTCAAAGGTCTGGATGTAAATCGGGGATTCATTTGTGTGATGTCCAGACTTATGTCCAACCACTACTCGCTAGACGCACATCTCTACAGAATAAACCTTGTTAACAGCAATATATGTAGGGGCAGAACCGGTTATGATGGCATCGATCACGCAGTTTGGCATTGCCCGGGTAATGACGCCTCCAGAGCACGACTATTGGATACCCTAGTGGCCCGAGGTAGACAACCCTTCCGTAAAGTAAGAGGTGTATTGGGAACCCGTGATCTTCCCTACATGCAGGCGATCTACGAATTCCTTTGTTTGTCTGATGTTAGAATTTGATGTGACCATCCCCTCCTTTCCACAAGTTTTCCAGCCATTGTGTCCCAGTCGTATTATCAACCTGATTCTGTGCTACTTGCCCCTGCCCAACCTCGAGCCCGCCACGATTAATTGGTACCCAATACAAACCTAGATTTACTGCTGTTTAAAATGTTAATTAATTAAGTCACACACGACTGAGCCTAGTGAATAAACGAACTAGTTAAAACAATTTCTGCCATCTTGGGCTTAAACACTTTTCAAGACTCTTGAAGTTTCAAGTAAATCGAATTTATAACAATTTATTAGATTAAGGGGGAGAGGCATTTGCCCCAACCGAACGGCCACCCGTTGGCTACGCCCATGCGAATACCTTTAGTTCGACACCCATTCAATGAACAGTAAAACACTTAAAATTACAGGCTAAAGGAACAACTGGACAAGCCCCTGGTGCTGATGCTCGCATGGCTGCAAGCATCGGAGAAACATCTAGCCAAGTACGCCGAGTTCTACATCGAGCAAGGTTTCGAAGTCCTCGTAGCCCACATCAGCCCATGGCAACTGATGTGGCCCGTGCACGGATCGCAAGCCGTAGCCAACGATATAGTGAAATTTATGCGAAACAACGATCTAAACCGAGGAGTGGTTCTGCATGGATTCTCCGTCGGCGGTTACCTGTGGGGTGAATGTCTAGTCAAAATCAACGAGGATGAATCCAACAAACCGGTACTCGACAAGATCAAGGGACAAATTTGGGACAGTGCAGCTGACATTACTGAAATCCCGGTTGGAGTTCCGCACGCCGTTCTGCCGAAAAATCCTACCCTGCAAAGCGCATTACGAGGCTACATAACGTAAGTTAAAATTTCTCTCTTGAAGAGTTCAACTCTTATCAATTCATTGAACCTTGAATTCCACCCGTTCTGTGTGCTCACTATCTCTAGCTACCACTTGAAGCTTTTTCATGAAGAAGCCACGCAGTATTACGAAAAGTGCAACAACCTGTACTTTTACGAACCGGCACGATGTCCGGCGTTGTTGTTGGTTTCCAAGACAGACCCGGTCGGAACGGAGTCCGCCAACAAACGGCTCATGGAAGCTTGGGAAACGGTTGGCGTTAAGGTTGGTTCTGATCTCTATTCATACGCAGTCCAATAAATCTAAGCGAATGCAATTTCCTATCTCCAATCAGACTACGATGAAGTGCTGGGATCGTTCGCCGCACGTTGGCCACTTCCACAAGCATCGCGAGGAGTACATCGACCAGTTGCTAACCCATCTAAGCACCCTCAACATTGCGGGCTATTTTCCGAAAGCAAAGCTGTAACCAAAATTCATCGTTCCATGACCTGTGATAAGAATCGATAAAACGAACAAATCTGGCCCAGCGAAAAATCCAAAAATAAACGTTCCCTTCCTGTTGTTAACTGGCCACTGTTTCGTGCGTTCCACTCCCCCGCTCGCTGTGAAATTTCAATTTGATTACCTACCTATCTGCGATTACGCGGAGTGATAAGCTGCTTTATAAATACACTCAATTTCTGTTTTAACGCGATTGTTTTTCGCCTTTATTTTTGGTCGTTCGATTTCAATTGGCAACCAAACTTAATGGAACTTGTTCCAAAAAAAAAACAAAGAAAAATCGGGTGGTATTAAAACGTTGTACCCGTTCTGCATGAGAACAAAATCCAAAAAAAAATGCAACCGCGTAAAAACAGAGTTGAGTGTAATGATATCAAGCAATCAGCTGTTGATTATGACAAACGATTTTATTTTATTTCTGCGTTTGTCCTTGAACCTGCTTAGCCGTTTGTAATTTTAAAAGCTCGATAAATGCCGATGTTCGCAAGCCTGTTTGAAATAACGAAAAACTGCTGTGCAGCCTGTAAACGAAAAAACGGCTTTTAAGCCACCCAGATCATGTCGCCAAAAACAGCACCGTCAGGTAGGTATGATCTCTATCCATAACCATGTGGAAAAAGATTGCTGAAATACTGAATTTTTAAGGTCGAAAAATTGTCTAATATCCACATTTGGAAAGCAATTTTTCTAAATTTTAATCCAAATGGCATGGCTTCCAACAGCCCTTTTACCGTTTATTATAGCTTTTTTTTCGTGATTTAATTGATTTATCGCTTAATACATTTGAACTCATTTTAACTCAGAATTTCATTTTGGCATATTAGTCATGTCTTCATTTATGGGCAGTATGGATCATTTTAGCTTTTTGGTAGTTGAATATTTTCCTAAACATTTTTAAAATAAAAGCTACTATTTAAAAATATTAGCTACCATTCCAGTAGAAAATATTATGTTTGACAAAATGCGATTGGGACTGGTATGCGATTATTGTTAACGTTAATGAACGCCATTCGATTGATTATGCAGACAGTGCGATACAAAACAAGCCCTCTGCGAGCCTTCCGTTGGCTGCATTCACAATATAATTTTGCATGTTTCGAATAGTGAAAAAAGTTCAGTCTAATATTGTATACAATGAAATGAGCGCCAGTCGGTTGCAATCTACTGCGTAGATTGTAGGTATGTAAATAGTAATGCTAGAATGACCGTTGTACAGTTGGTCCTATACTTATAGGGTGACACAATGTATCACAGCAGAGAAATTGTTATATTTTTAGATGCACACACTGCAATGCTACTGGCGCCTACTGTACAAGTGTGCATAGTGCAAGGAAATGATGATGAATTGGTAGCTTTCGGGTGAATGCTGCACACTATTGTTTGGAAACTAGTAAAGCTCGTTCTGATAAAATGCGTTCGTAACTTATGCGTTTAGTGCGTGTTAACACAAACTAATTTAATATCTATGACTTCTAATGAACATGTGTCGTCGCCAAGTAGGGGCCTTCCATTCATTTTTGCTAAACTATGTTTTATGAAATTATGGATAATATTTTGTTTGTTTAATCAACAAGAAATGATTGTGAAGTTTGTGTTTGACACATAATACCAGCCAATTTTCCTACATGAGAGTCGCAATAAGCGATTTTGTCATTTATCTCACCCACTCTTCGCTTTTCACTCTTCACGAAGAGGCGATCAGAAAATCGTTCATTGTAACTCTGTCAAAGCTAAATTTGCAGGTTTTATGTGTCAAACACAAACTTTACAATTTTAGTGCAAAATATCATCATAATATCTAAGTATTCCATAATTCCCTCCCCTTGGCTAGTTTTTGCACCTTGCTGTTGGTGGGTGGGCTTAATTTCATGCTTTATAGTGGAGTGTTGGAGACGGTAGGTTTATGGTCGGCGTTGCTGGCTCATGCCGCGATAGAATAGCGTCATGGGCAGGCAATGGGGATTACTAAGCTTCCCCTCTCTGATAAACCACTGCATGAGAGAACCAAAGATCTAATCTAGCAGTGATAGTATCACACTTGTTACTCCTTTCATTGAGATCCGCGTCGTAGTACGCTTACGTATAGGCACTGACGTTGGGTGCGATACTGGCGGGTTTTGCCGCAAATCACTCTTATTTTATTTATTTTTACGCATATAGATTTATTAGGGTTTGCAAGGGAATTATACTATTGAAATATTTCAGAAAGTGCCCAACGGTGCTCCTTCTATTTGCGTGACAAGCTTTCATTGTTGTTTTCATTGAAGTATTACTCAGGAAACAATGTTAAACATCATTTTTGTACATGGTATTGTAACTAATCTTATATGTGCTTCATTTTGATTTGGGATAAGTGTTTGAACTATGGCTCGAGATTTCCACTGTGGTGTGCTTCTATTGTGACATACCCATATGTATTTTTGTGGTGCGACATAGTGGAAACGTGAGAGCGTAATTGGAGCATATACCCTATATAATTTAAAAATCAGCTAGGAAACTAACTTCAAAATGATGCATTTCAGTCACATGAAGGTGTTACCTGGGTCGAACTAAGATATAATAAATAGGTATAGTTCAAAATCAAAAGTACTTGAAACACGTTTAATTTTAGATTACAAGCACAAGTGCAGGTACTTAATAAAGCATGGGTTATGCTTGATTAGGTGAATTAGAGCTTTTAATAATTTATTAAATTAGACTAATGAGATATCATAATCATCAAATGAACTTAAATAAGAAACTTCAGAAAGTCTAATGACATTAAGTAGATTAACAAAAGAATTAGGATGCGGGGGGTCCGCTTAGGGAGGCAACTAACCTTTAAAGTTGTAGAATAAATCTTCTTATTTAGTCTTGAACTTTAAAAAGAAAACGCAGGCAGACCAATAACATTTAGCAGATTAACAAGGAGAGGAATAGTTTAGGAAATAAGTAAAAGTAGAGGTATGTGACAATTAATAGCTTTTAAACTTTTGGAGGTATTGTATTCCCCTGTTGTACTCGATTACTGTATAATTCTCTCAGTACGCGAAATCTCTTATATATGCGGTTAAAGCATTTGAGTTAACTTATTTCTTAGTGTTCAAGTACTTACATTTGTAAACAGCAGTCAATGTTAATCTATGAACTAAACCATACGTAAAATCGATCTTCCTTATGTGGTATTGATGCATGTTTAACTTTTCGCGGCTGTCGGAATCAACGCGCCTACGTCTACGGAGCTTACGCAGAAATGATTCGCAATGCGGTAGAGCTCACCAAAAGTTTTTTTTGAGCTTCTGTAGTATAGAATTTGTTCGGTACGGTCGTGAAATCTTGAATGATTGATACGTGCGGTAAAATAACTAAATGGAAACAAAGCTCAGTAGTAAATAAGTAGAATATCTAAGGAGGAAACCAAAATTAATCAACTTGCCAACATAGGCTATCACATTTATTTTGGTGGCACTCTTTAAATGATAATAAGCCTTTTTTTTCTCGCTTCGGTTGTCTCGCACGGCTTTCGGAATTCGCGCGGTTTTCGTAACTTACATAATTTAGATATTTCGTTCGAAACGGATTTACTCATTCAATCGGTTTACTACGCGGATGTATCTACGCGCACACGTCACAGCATTTTTTCTATAACTATCTTGAAACAATACATATGGAATCCAGTGTTCAAGCGGCCAAAATAGGCTAGTCCTTCTGCTGTATTGTCAAAGATAGAAACAAAATTTGTTCAAATGGGTCAAGTCTTGAAAATTAAGCTGTCACGCAGATCCAGCTTGATACCCAAAAAAAAAAAAATATCTAAGTATTCTATGATTTCAAAAATATTTTTTTTATCCAAAGTGAATGGAAGGAACCTTAATCACAAGTAAAAATTTCTACAGTTTTTCTTGAGGGTTCTGTAGAACATGCTTTAGAATTGTAGTATGCTTTAAATCCTCTATAAACTTGCAATGTTAGTTGCGATACGTGCTCATTATAAGACAGCCTTTATGCCGCTCTTTGCATGTCCGTTCCATAGCAGAAATCAGCAAGTCGAGAAAATCACGCTCTAAATAAATCAAACGTTAATTTTTTAACAAATTTTCTAATATCCACACAAATCTCCTGACATTGGGTAAACAAACAGATAAAATCCACATAGCAACCGAGCAAATAAACCAACGCTATATATTTCTTAAGTGTTTTTTTAAAGTATATTTAGGTAGGTGCGTGTTGCTTTCGCTCTTGGACAAGAATCTTAGAACTCGGATCACCATCCAGGAGCTAGCTACTAGAAACGGAATGGATGATGCAGGAAATCGATTCGTCACAGTTAAATTTTGCAGAAATCTTGTAACTTGTATTTAATTTCACGAAACCGAGCAACTTGTAAACAATGTTGTTTACAACAATGGGCTTTTGAATACAATATTTGCAACTTTGTATGAAATGTCTCATAACTTTACATGATATATAATGTAAACTTATATGATATTTGACGCTCCATTTATGTGCATCATACTGAACAGACATTTACACTACTTTTTCGAACTGTGTACATACGTAGATGCGAATATCAGTTCCAGCCAGACGGGACTGTCCACGTCACCGCACAGCCTTTTGATGGTGGATGATGTCGATGGTGAAGATGAGGATGAGCATGTCCACATAGATGATTCGGTCATGGATCACGACGAGATGCTGGACGACGATATTTCTCGATGAACATTTCAAATGGTTCTATCCAAGCTTACAAATGCTCATTACAACTGAAATGCTATTTTTCGGATTTATGAAGCTATGAGATATCTTAATGATAATTCAAGAGCCACATGTGAAAAGGGCATACAAGCTTTTTGTAAACAAGCCTTTGTAGGCCCTCTTCTCGCCAACCGAGGGTCGCCCACGCAAACTAACAACATCATCGGGAAGGGGAAACCTTCCCCTATCCGGCGATGTTGATGGTTTGCGTTGGTGTCATATGGGTGGCGAGAAAAGGGCATAAGAATGTTTGTTTACAAAAAGCTTGTATGCCCTTTTCACATGTTGATCTTGGATTCCTATTTACAAGATGCAAGAACAGGAGGTAAAGTGTGTGTATGACACATAAAACATGTCAATTTAGCT